AAAAAAAAAAATACAGTTACCCCTTGAGACACTTCCTTCCAAGAATCACTTATATTGCTGGTGCTTCTACAACGTCGACTAGTGGAGTCGAGAGCTGTATGATTTACATCAGGTTCTTTTGACTCCTTATATTTCACATGCTTCTCTTCTTTTCCTTTTGAATGATTCTCCAAAGCATCTGCCTCCACTTCACTGCTGGAAGGTGTGTTGGATCCACATGAAGAGCGGTCCACCTGCTTTCTGCTATTTGACTTGTTCAAATCATTCAGCATTGCTGCATCTGCAGTCTGTTTAGTTTCAGTAGCAGTTAATCCGACATTTCGCTGTGCACCTTCACTTTCCAAAGAATCTGACGACGACAATGTTGGTGACTTCAAAGCTGAATGCTGTTCTTGCAAAGCCTCAGAACACTCTGGTTCTAGTTGTTGACCGCCTAAGGTGGCAGGATCAGGAGGGTTTTCTCTTCTTTCAGTATTAGCTCCTCTATCTTTACTCATATCCATTGGAACAGCTGATGTTGATGGGGGAGAACATGTAAAGCCCGGCTGAAATGGAGAACAAAATGGGAGTAAGCCATGAGCCGTCCACCATGCCGTTGCAGCTGCTACTGTAGCTGCAGCAATTGCAGCCATACTAGGAGCTGAATTTATCTGCCTTGACTGAAATCCTCTTGCAGGGTGGTCTGCCGGATAATCCACGTTTGCACATGGCCAGTATGTAGCTGCAAAGCTTGCAGCAGCATGGGCTGCTGGATTTTGTAACAAAGCAGATACAATAAGACTTGAAAGCATAGATGACGTGTGCAGAAATGATGGGTAATCATCTTGATTGGGGATTGGGTTTGAGATTGGATGGAAACTAGGAAATGATTGATGAATGGAAGACGATCCATTACTTTGTTGTTCAGAAGCAGCAGATGAAGTCGGATTCGCAAATAGATTTGGGTGGCCATTAACTCCCCCCATTTGATGAAACATAGGTTCTTGATAATGTATAACTGGGGAAACGTTCTGTGTATTCATTCCTAAGCTCCCATCCGGAATGTGAACTGCAACATGTCTAGGATAGTTCTGAGAGTCTCGCACATCACTGTTCAGAATTGCATCAACATTTTTGGAATGATTCAGCTCATCTGTTCCTTCATCTTGTACATATTTCTCATGTAAAAGTTGAGAATTTCCAATGTTCAAAGTGTTACATAAGCCATAATCCTGAGACAGCTTGCTGTTATCAAATTTGTCTTTCTGATGTCCTTGTTCAATGGTGATATGGGATTCAGTTGTTTCATCCTCATTACTTGCCCCTTTAGATCTCTGGAGAAATTCACCGTATGAGTTTCCAGGTGAAATTGAAGTTGTCAAGGAACTTTTGATTATTGAACATGGAGAGGTACAAGCAACTGTCTTGAAAAGGGTCACAGCCTCAGAGACATTGCCCTCATCTTCGTACTGCTTAGAGCTTCCCATCTTTCCATCATCACCATGTTGCTGGCATAACATCACATTACAGGGAGAATATTGTTTATATACATAGTGAAAATAATCAACATCACAGTAATTATCTTGGGAAGAGAAGTAAATTAGAAACAAGAAAACCCCAGCATGTGTAACTGGGAAATGTATACACGTTGAACTATGAAATAAAAAATAAAAAATTTCCAACAGAGTAGCATATACCTCATCAGGAACTGGCTCTTTCTCCAAGTCCAGTGTGGTTTTATGCACATACGAAGAAGAAACAGGGGGCGACATTTTACCATCCTTCACTTCTGTATGTGAAGTAGGAGCTCCTGCACTTGTCTTCCTTGGATAAGGATTGCTTGGTTTCTTTTTAGGACGCGGAGGAGGAATTTCAATGTCAAGAGTCCGTCCAATTGAAACGCCTTTAATAAGAGCCTCTTTCTCTAGCTGGATTTGTTGAAAAAAAACATTAGATATATAGATTGAATGTATGCAAACGATGTCAAAGTACATAAAGCAAAATCTTGATGCGAAAGAAAAATATATAGTTTGTCATGCGGTATATGTAAATTTTAGGAATTGTCATTCCTGAAGTATGACACGACTGAGAAAATGCCATTATCCTGGTCAAAGTAGTTATTGTTTTCCATGAAAAAGCTTTAGTTTTGATTCAACCTCTTGGACCAACCACGGACTAAAGTAAATGAAGTATTCGTTCATTAGTATTTTGAAGTATAACAAAATCTCAAAATGTCAGCATTGTGGCGTCATGTTTCTCTGTTGTTGTCATCCTTTGTCATCTTAATGCATGGATTTCCAGTAGAGTATGTATATATATAATGGTTTAAGTCCCAAAAAATCCAGAACCATTTTCAGAACTAATTACTCCTAAAGCTTTACCTCTCAAGTTCCCAGTTATCTGTTAATCTCATTGCTATCAGAATGAGACAGAATTACATGGTTTCATACAAAAATATGAAACCATTATCCACTGCACTTCAGCATCAACATCATGAGGTAAGATTCAATAAACCAAAAACATGGGCTGATCTGGCCAAACCAGCACATTCCCTTCTCTGATTGACAAAACTTTCTTGCATGCTTATTAGAAGCATTTGACTTGATTTGCAGCTCAACCCTCTCCCTCTTCAGGAAAGAGAGAAGGAAATTAAAGGAAAAAATGATAGCTAATGGGACAACAAAGCAGAGACAAATAAATGTATAGGTGACATGAACATAATCAATAAGATTCTAGACTGTTGATCAAGTGATACAACACAGTATTCTTCTTCGAACAGCGAGCAACAAAGTGTCATCAAACTATGACATTTTTAATCGCCCCCTCTGTTTTTCATTTTATTAGGTGATGATGATAGTCACCTAAAATTGTTCCCAGATCAACTGAAGTAAGATAAAACTTCGTAGACTACGTAAAAATATAAATCTACTGACAATAACACAACGGTGAGCATTAAAGTAACCAGAGAACAAATGAAAATAAACAAGGTCATACTTTCCTATAGAGATACTTTTCCTATAGAGATACAAGGGAACATGTCACTGGATTCTTTGCTGGTTCTTCATGTGTAGAAATTATATGATCCAAGAAATGATCAACTTAAATAAAATCAATTATTGTACAACATACATAAACAGCATAGTTCATAATAAGTTAAGTTTGAATCAGACGAATTGTTGTAACTAGTAGTTTTTCACATATTACAACAAATCCGCACATCATTGAAAGAAAGAAAATTGAAGAATAAATAAGTAAATCAACACACAGATTTACGTAATATGGCTCAATGAAACCCACATCCACAGAAGAAGACAATAAAAACATAAATGCAAGGTTACAAGGATTTTCAGTAGTCTCAGGCTCAAATCCTCTCTAAGCCTAAACTCCATACTGCGCAACTTTTTGTATACGGATCAAAACACCACCAAAAATGGTTGAATGCATACCACAAGGCCACTATGGCGCTACCCCCTGGCCTCTTGTGGAGATCAGTTTTCTTGCTCGTAATGATCCTACCTTTGATTTCACAAGCTAAAACTCCTTTTTTTCTTTCTCATAAACCATGCAAAACATAAATTTGGCCAGGTTAGGCCTCAGTACAAAAGATAGCAGCATTAAAAGTGTAACCTCTAAGAATGGTCAAAGTTCGCATAAAGTACTTCAGAACAAGTCAAAATTTATGTTTTCAACATAGACTTGATAATAGTTAGTAATTAAGTTCTTCTCATTGATCAATTAGCTTTTTACTGTGATATGAAGCAAAAATGATGTGATGATCCTAAATCCAAACTGTTCATCTTATCTAAAGCCTATAAGCCAATGGGACCATGATTATCGATAACTATATTTACCAACATATGTCCTCCAACAGTCTCTACCACTTCGAAATCCTTTGACACACTTTAAAACTTTCTTACGACCGTAGAAAATGGTAATAGCCATTGCACGATTCATATCCCTTATAAATGATTGTACATTCTTCTATTTCTTTATTCTTCAAAGGCTCTCATATATCACTCTCCACAAAACTCACATAGTGCCATTTCAAGTGTGCCTGCTTCCTACCAAGCTACATGAAAATCATGTCAATGGATACTCAAAGGAGCTAAAATCACCCACAAAATCCCAAATAAGCAGAACCACACCGTAGCTAAGACATCCTCTGCTACCTCTTTATATGCAACATCAACTAATTCAAATATTCTACTGCATCAACTTGAATGGTGTGCTACTAATCAACATCCTCAGTGGCTGTCTAGAAAAGGAAATCCACCAATTTAGAGTCCTACTATTCCAAATCACCTTCCAACAAAGCCCCTACCTTAAAGCAACTGAAAAAAAATTATTTGCTAATAAATTATTGAAGATCTAGAATTTATGACTAAAGATTCTGCCAGGCTGTCTTGCAGCATCAACCAAATCAAATGGGAAGCAAATAAGATAATTGACATGAACCTTCCCTTGAAGAGAATCAGTCAACTTATTTCCATAATTGGTCTGATGTTTTTTTTCTTCACACATGTAATATTTTCAGGATTGTTTATCCCTTTATAGTTTAACTGTTTTTAGCCTATATAAATTTGATGGAGCTTAGGCTTCAAATATTGATATTAAAAAGATTGTTCGTTTGTAATTAATATGCTTTTATAATTAGCAAGTAACTAGCATTTTTGTTGGAATTAGCAATTAGCTTAGGTTATAGGAAGTTTTCCTTTTCAATGTGTCATGAGACCCCTTATAGCTCTTGTAAATTCCAGTAAAGACATAAAAATGAAAATACATTTTTCTAGATGGTATCAGTCTCAGTAGGATTTGTTTTATCGACCCGGAACTCTATTGCTAGGCTTTTTCTCCTATTTGCTAGCATAACTGAGCCCTCATTGCCGGTTTATTCCCTTCCTAAACACAGCCTATATTCCCAGTCTACTATAGTTTCCAACTTGCCAAAAGTTTCATTATTTTCTGTGGCATCCGTTTTTATGTAAAAATTCTCTTCAGGGTGAAAGGAAATAACTCAAAAAACCTTATACAACAAACTCAATGAATAATGAAAAGCATATTTTGTTTTGCCGAGAAACAGTTACAATCACTATACGTGTCCGTAGAACAAGAATCATAGCTCTTCTCTTTATTCTCCCATATGTCGGTTGACTCTTTTATCATTTCAAATACCTTAAATGTTGCTTCTTTCTCGAGTTACACTTGGATCATTTATTCGAAGGATATGAGTTGCCATTCTAAATTATTTGCTTCTCATACCCTTGTTCGGGTAGACAAAAGTAAAAATAGATTATGGTTCATCCTTTGTATCACATGAAGTTTGTATTCTTATTTCAACACCTATTTCCCTTCAGTCTGTTTTGCAAGTTCAAAATCTCTCCAGTAATCTGCTCACAATTAGCAAACTCGTCAAAGATTTTTTTTCCTGTTCAATGTGAATTTTAGTTATGTGCATGAGAAACATGTTTGGACGTTTCAAGGAAGTTGATGGGCTTTATTAATTCGAAAATGAAACTACAGGTTTAAGCATGCTCAAATTCTTCTAATGAAAATCAACTTTGAAATAAGTGATTGGGCCACCCAATCTTCTCATATCTAAAGATGTTACTTCCTACTTTTTTTTCAATATGAAATATGAAATCCGCAAATTGCCAAAAAATTATCCTGCTCATTTTCATGCACATACTTAAGCCAAATCACAACATTTTTCTCTTACTTGTAGTGATATTTGGAGATCATCTCATGTTGTTAATTTCTTTAGGATTAAATGGTAAATATATACATCGATGGTCATACAGATGTATGTTAAATGTACTCAAAAGAAAAATCCAAGGAAAACCACATCTTTCAAGTTTTTCATCGTATTATTAAAAAATTTCAAAGCCAACCTTTAAATTCTTCAAAGTGGAAACAAGAAGGAATGTCATGCTTCAATCCCGAAATTATATCTTGCTGAAAATGAGATTGTATTTCAAAGTTATTGTGTGGATTCTCCACTAACAAAATGGGGTAGCAGTGAGAAAAAACCTAACATCTTTTTAGATAGCTAAAACTGTAATGTTTACCATGGGATTCCAATACATTTTAAGGCGAAATTGTTCTTATCACTACATACCTTATCACCAAAATGCCATCGAGGGTCTTAAATTTCAAAACCCCTCTCTATATCTTAAACATGTGTATCCAACACCCAAAAGGTTATTAGTTGTCCTACATTTGTCCATGTGCATTGTCATAATAGAGAAAAGATGGATCCAAGAGCTCTTAGACGTGTCTTACAAGGTTATTCACCGACCAAAAAGGTAACAAGTATTATCACCCTCCAACAAAAATACTTTTTGTAAGGTAATACCTTTTTCAAGAACAACTCTTTTTTCACCAAAACTTCTCTACAAGAGGAGAATGAAAAGCGTAAAGATCAAATTTGAAATGTATTGCTTATTGCTCAATCTTCTATTCATGAGTCTCCCATCGTTCTTCCTTTGCAATCTTCTTCGGATCACGAGTATTGCGTCACTCAACTTCCCCATGAGTCTCATATTGTTCAAGCATATGATCATAACTCTAAGATTTCTCACTTTTCTCCATTGGATCCCATCACTCCATTTGAGTGCGTACAAAATAGAACTAAATCTCACTGAAGGGAGAACAAGTTATGACTTTCTCAACAAATGAACAAGAAAAATTTCTAAAAAATGCAGGTAATTCTTCTTCTATCCCGACATACCAAGAAATCTTAATTTAACAAAATATTCCGATCTTCATATTCCGATTGTTCATAAGAAAGGTGTTAGGAATTGTACTTCGCATTTTATTTCGAAATGTTTTAGTATCAAATAATACCCTTCCTTTAGAGCATTTAATGCTTAATATGTCTTTTTGCAATTCTCTTCCAAAGTACTCCACAGGAAGCAACTACCATTCCAAGATGCAAGTGGGTAATTCAAGAGGCAACAAGGGCATTGCGAAAGAGTGGTACATGACAACTAGTTGATCTTATGCCCAAAAGGAAATCGGTGGGATCTAAATGGATGTTTATTCTTAAACACAAAGTTGATGGGGTAGTTGAAAGATATAAGGCAAGACTCGTAAGTAAAGGATTTATATAGACTAGTGAAATTTACTCCTATAATACGTTAGCTCCAGCAGAAAAAATGAGGGCAAATATTGCCTATGCCGTGTGATTCGAAATTCATAATGTACTCTCCATGGCAATTTAATGTAGATATGGTTTACAAAAATTTTACACTATTTGGAAGGTAATTATATTCAAAAAATGAATTGAATGTAGACATAATTGAATCTATTAAAGATATTAAAAAAGAAAAAAAATTAGATGATTAAATAAAAATTTTGCCGGCTTATGAAACTGTTAAAACATCTATGTCACATCAATGAGTGGAAAAGCTATTTACTTGTCCTAAAAAAAAAAGGTATAACAATGGTAAAATAAGGGAGATACAATTCGATTTGATGAAAATGAAATAATGAAAATTATTTATTACCTCCTATACTTACGTAGCATGGGATTTTCCCCCTTTAACATGCCCCTGCAAAATTGTAGTAACAAGGAATCTGACTGTTCATTTGAGCTTAAGACAGTCCGAATTATTCACTTGAGCTTTTCGAACTCTAATACCATATTGAGTCCTTGTGTCTTCCTTAAAATATTAACCTTATTCAGATAAATAGCTAAAACCTTATATGTTAATTAATTTTTTATTTAAGTGAGTGAGATTTTAAGAGGTATGAATCATGGCAATTACTAATTATTCTAGTAAAATATAAGAAGATTCGCATTCTAATCAGTATTCCAATTGTTAAAAAGACAGGGAATGACAACAATTGCAAGAATATTATAATACAGGAAAGAATTATTTCACACTACAGAAATCAGAAGTAACAATATATATGTATGAGTAGAGAATGGCATTTAAAAACTTTCTAATGCAAATATTAGGCATGTATTGTCCCTGCCATCAATTTGAGCCATGACCAAGTACAAAGAAGTTCCTTTATATACCAATACAAGAAAGCAGGAGAAGGAAGCTATTGACCTTTGTAAAAAACTTTTGTGCGTGACTTCTGATCTGCACTGCAGTCTTGGTTCCTACATGTTCTGTGCACCACGAAATACAAACAGAATAAGAAAGGAGAAACAAATCTCTAATTAAGACAATATATCCAAGAAACAGATCTCTCCTAAAGGGAGATATCAAATAAATAGAAATCACAAAGGTAAATTATACAGTGATAAAAAAATTGAACTGAAGCTGATTATAACTAAAAGCGTGCTTTAATTATCTAAAAATTAAAATAGCTTGCAGCAACTAATAGTAAGTCAATCAATAGAAATAAAGAGTGAAAGAATAGTGACCTTCTATTCGTTGCCAAGCACGTCCATAGAGCTTAACAGCCTCTAGAAACCTATTGTGCTCCTCATCTGTCCATCGCTCCCTTTGCTTAGTGATTGTATAAGGTTTCCTTGTCTGCCATTAAAGTAAATTTAATGGCACTTTAAACATGGAACTGTGACTCAAACTACGAGTGAAAAGGACCGGAGAGCATTATAAATTTTAAAATTAAAGTAAAAGGACTGATATAGCCGTTGTAGAAGAGACCTTGACAGCAAGTTCTTCTCCAGAAGAATAAGGGTCCATCCAAATGCTAGACCGGGGGGCTGTTTCAGATATAGAGTACGCTTTCGTTCATCACTAAAAACCACAAATATAAATAGCTTGGCCGTTGTGGTGGTGTTAATGGACGAAAGCCAACTAAGTACAACTAAAACTGCAAAAGAGAAGAACAAGTAACAAAAACATTTGACACAGGATCCACCTATTTCCCAATAATCATTTCTTAATCTGGTAACTATCTAACTTTGTAATTGATGAAAAATATTCATGTATGTATTTATGTATGTATGTAGAGAGAGGGAGAGGAGACGCATCTCTGAATCTGAAAGAAGTACTAGTATAAGTAGTTAAACACAAATAGGAGTTAATTCCTTATCCACAATTCTCACCAAAAGGAACCGCATGTTGCCTTAACCTTGCAAGTTCAATCCATTCCAGAAAAACCAAAAAAAAAAAAAAAAAAAAAAAAGGGTTCAATCAGTAAACACAATTACAATGGTCGAAATCTCATCATTCCTATCACCAATTTGCAAGAATAAATGAATCAAACCCATAGAAAGGTACCTTCGAATATAGCCATGGGGAAGTTCAGATCTTTATCCAAATCGATCGGAATATTTTAAGATGTCAAAAATTAATCAATTAATTATAAACTGAATGAACGAGTAGAAGAGCAAAGAAAGATAAGGAGCTGGCAATGGAGGTTTGATTTTGATTTTGATTTTGGTTTTTCTTTAAATTAACACAGAAAAATTGAGAGCCACTAGTAATTTAATGAAAAAACAAATTAGGAAATTTGAAGTTTAATTTGAGGCTGAAAGGGGAAG